CCCCCCCCCCCCCCCCCCCCCACACACACACACAACATTGCTCTAAATGAAAATACCAACAAACAAACTATTAGGTTTGTTAGATTGAGTTGAAGACAAGCACTCGGACAATGATCAATAGTCAATGGGAAAAAGGGAAACAGAGAGATGATATATGGGAAGGTGGGGGAATTCCACACCCGGGGTAATTCCACACCCCCACTTACAGCCCTTAGAACCAACAAAAATCTTCCGTTTGAGATCAGCTTTAATTATTTGCTTCTGTCTGTCATGTTTTATTTTTCAATTCAGCTTTAATTTCTTGTATGTCTGTCTTTTTATTTTCATTTTGGCATGTGTGTTGTGTTCATGTGGGTGTGGAATTGCCCTGCAATATTAAATTTTTAATTAAGTTGAAAAATGAAAGTATGGGAATGGCGTTATCTTAGAATTCATATTGTGTTTTGTTTCCCAACTTATCCGACCCAAAGTAAAACTGTTGTCAAGGATGTGTCCTCTTTCTACATAAAGTAGCTTCTATAACACTTGTCTCACAATTGAAAAGTATGGAAACAGATATAGGAAAAAAACGAATCAGGAAGTTCTCTGACTAACGACAAGTTATTTCAAAGTTGTTTAAGATTAACATTTGTTTATAAAAAAGTCCAGTTCTCAATATTTTCCTGATTTAAAAAAGATCTCTGTCTTTTTCTTGTCAGCCAGCACAACAAAAGCTGCATTTTGTAAGGACATAAATTAAGATAACGTTCACACTGACAAGAAGGTGAAGGAGTAAACCAGGTCAGGGTGCAAAGGGACAGAACCTCACAAGAACACCGACACAAGAACATAAGAAAGCAAAAAAAAAACGCTCAGCACTTTCTTATCACATGAAAAGCAAAAATAGAACATCTGAAGTAATACAAATATCTTGAATTAACCTCAGGCAATTCTCTCCACCCTTGAAAATTATTGATAGGCCTACATAACAACTATTTTCACAAAATGTAAAATCCAGAAAACACACCAAAAAAAGGGGCTAAACTAAATATTAATTTTGCTTAGCAGAAACAAATGATACATAGTAACATAATCAGCAAACAAATAAAATCCTAATCACGCAAGTTAAGTGCAATCTGCAATCACTTACCAGTTCTTCTTTCCTCTTGTCATTGCTTTGTTTCTTTTTATCCAACTCCGAGGCGTCACTGTCCATTTTGCGATTCGTTCGGAACAAGCGCCTTTGGGCCTCAGCCTTTTGAGCTGCAATATTGCGTCGCTTATCGCTCACCCTGAGCAAAGCATAAGATAAGCAGAAACAATGTTACAACAAGCTTGACAGTCAAAGGTGAAAATATAGAAATTCAGAATCAGTGAACTATGGGAAAATATTAGACAAATTTTCTATAACATGCATTTAGGACGAAGGACAGAAAAAGATTTATAAAAGACAATCTGCTTTGTAGAAAAAGGGGAACAGAAAGTCAAAGGAGCAGGGTTAGGAAAACTCTCAAGACCTATCCATGCTAACCCTTAAGGTGGGTCACCAGGAATATGCGTTGTGTTTGGACCACAAAGACTGACTGCAACACAAAACCATTTAGTGAAATGGCTCGAAATTGTAAATCAATAACAATGCTAAGAAGAATTTCCCCTGGAAAAGTACACTGGGATTCTCAATGAATATTTATTTTCAAATATGAACAAAAGAAGGTTGTTTTTTTTCAAATATCTATACATATACACAACTGTAAATTTCCACTGTCTTTAGTTTCTTGGAACATGGTCAGAACTTACATTGATCACCAACATGCTTCTAATTTAATGAAAAGCTCGAGTAGATCAGAGCCCAAAACTTTTCTCCCTTAATTGGTGACCCCATCTGCCAATGTGAGTGCCCCCATAGCATTAGCAGAGCTAATAGCATTAGTAGGGCCAACATTACCAAAAGATTGAGAAGAAAACTCTTTCACAAATGTCTATACCCTGCCTATTAGATGAAGAAAATAATGACAAGAACACTAAAAAGAAAGTACATGTACAAAGAAGCATAATTCAATCATCCCTCTAATTGGGGTAATGCTTACTTGATATTCAGAAGCCTGAAAGTGTCTTCTATCATAGCAGACTTGATCTCAAAATCTAATTTTTGATCTGTGCCAAAGCTTGGAGATCTGTTAATCTGAGGAAAGATTAGAGATGGTTGTTTCCTTAAAGACACATGGCATTCAATTTTCAATATCACTTCTGTGAGAAAATTTGCCCGAAAATAATAATAATAATATGATGATGATGATGATGATGATGATGACTTTTTGCCTTCGTGTTTCCCCTCCTCTAGCCTTTTCGACTCATTGATTGTGTTCACCGCACCCTTCCGTTATTATATTCCTTACCTCCATGCATATGTTCCCCCCCCCCCCTCTTTCTCTCTCTCCCTCTCTCTCTCTCTCCCTCTTTTCTTTTCCCTCTCTCTGCCACCTCTGGCCCTAGTGTTTCTCTTTCTCTGGCCTTTCCGATTTGTGTTCATAGCACCCTTCTGTTATTATATTCCTTACTTCCACGCACCTTTCCACCCCCCCCCCCCCCCTCTCTCTCTCTACCACTTCTGGCTTTAGTGTTCCCTTCTCTCCGGCGATTTGTACTCACCGCTCCTTTAAATATTCAGACATTTATGTACGCACTTTAGTTTTTATAGCCTGTGTATATAATGATGATGATGAAGATATTTCCGATATTGTCCAAATCACACCAATACGTAACTTATAGTGAACACTTTGTTGCTGTGGCGTCATCACTCATTTATTTTTTTCTCAAATACTATGTTCCTGATGAAGCCTTACTGGCAAAACGTTGAACTGTGAAAAATATATATTTTCTGGAAATACAACAAGGTCTTAACTGTTTTAATACCTTCTTTATACAATGATGATGATGATGATGATGATGATGATGATGATGATAACGATGAATAAGATTCCCCCCTCCCAAATCCCTCCAAAAAATAGAAGAAGAGTGTACTTTTAAGAGTGTGTTGAAACTTTTAAATCAATAAAGTCACTGTCTTGTTTTGGGGTTGGGAACAATACAAGATACTTTACTTTACTTTACTTTTCCGATCCAGCGCCCATTTGGGTTCTAGCCCTTCGGTCTGTCGATATGGCAAAGAATTTGCAGGTTTTAATCAGCTGTGCTTTGTCGCTGTGTAGAGTATTTCCGATGTTTGGGGAGGCAGGTAGGTAGGTGCTACGCAGGTCACAAAGTGCTGGGCAGTTAAAGAGGTGGTGTGGTACTGTTTCATCCAACAATACAAGATAAGTTTAAAGACAGCATAAAATACCCATCATCGTTATTATTACTTACCTCAAGAAGCCATGGCCTCAGTTTCCTGTCAATCATGATGTCAAATCCGAGCACCTCGAAACACACACTGTCACTTCCTGAAGACACACCCGGCCGACACATCCTGTAGGCGTGCAGCACATGCGGCTCGGCGACCAGCAGGGTTCGAACAATCATGTCTCCAATGTTGCGCCAGAGCAGACTGACGTCGATATCGCTTCGACGCAGATACTCGTTGAAGTAGCGGATGGAACGTTTGCTCCCAGTGTCAAAGCCCATGTTTTTGTCATAGAACTCATTGTGTTTGTTGACTGAGTAGTTGGTGAGGTGCATGAACAAATGATTCTGAAAAACCCCAGTACAACATGGGCGTGTCAGGATTACACAGAATATGACTCACAAAGCAAAGTGGCTGAACTGACAAATAGAACAATATAGCGTAGTTGCTAACTGGAGGTTGGCAAAATAACCACTTAATCTCATCTTGATAGTCAACAATAATATGAGTGAAAAGAAGGTAAAAAGAGCACATCACGGTAGAGCATACACCAAAACATGAATAGTTTAATCTAAAAATGCATGAACATAGTAGTGGGAGTTTCGAGCTAAGGTATTCTTAAAAAGAAAATTGCATTAGTTTGAATTTGAACATTGGAGCGTCAAATGCATTAAATATAAATTGTGTTTTGTAGTTAGAATGTACCCAGTCAGGTTCAGTAGCACCTCTTGCCAAAATATTTGTTGTTTGAGTATGTAGTTACAAGAATGGGTCTCACTTCATACTAAATTATTGTGTTTCCGTATTTAGTAAGAAAATGTGCCTCTTGTCCAACTTTTTCTTCTGTTTTGGTACATAGAAATGTGTCATCTCTAGGTCTATCATGCTTCCCGAACACTTCCACTACCACTGTCTCTATGATGTGCTCTCAATGTGCGTAGTAAAATCCAAGACTTAATGAGAGTTGTTTAAGGTCCAGAGTCAACTCTATGTTTAAAAGTGCCTATGTTCTTCAATGGACATAATACACTATTTTGGAAACGGCAAAGAAAAAAATGTGCAAGACATGACTATGCCCTTAAAACAAGAAGAAAAGAACATACAACACATTATACAGTGTTTTGTTTTTTTGGTCATTATCAAATGATTCTGGGTATTTTTCACAGCCAAAACAGAAACGAAATTTTTTCATCGTAAAATAAAAAAAAGAAAACCATATATATCTCAGCAGCAGCCAAAGGCAAGTTAAAATTCAGTAAAGTAAAGTTGTTAAGTTGTTCCCGCATCCGATTCGGACATTAGGTATTGCCTTGTTAGAGAGACAACTTCCTGGGCCTTCGGCACATTGTGGTAGGGTGGCCAGTTCTTTTCCACACCGCCTTTATTTCCCCAACTCGAAGTCAGGTACCCATTACTGCTGGGTGGGCAGGAGGGGAAGAAAAAAATGCGTGTCCGAACAGAGGCTCGAACCTGGACTTTCCGCTTTGGAGACGAGGCCATTAACCACTCCGCCCCCGCACCCTCTTAAAATTCAGTAAAATAAAAAAAACAACAACCATCAATTGATGCTCTACAAACAGCATTTAGTTGGACCAGTAATTGAGCTATAGAGGTGAGCGAGCAGTCATTTATTGCACTTCAAAACAAAAATAGTATTTTTTAGGGACAAATAAAAGAAACGCTACAGAGAAGAAGATGGAATAAACCACATCATAACATCCACGATACATCCATGATGGACTGATGACAAAAACATCGGTTGCTGATTAACGCAACCATAACAAGCTAACTTACGATGTTGCTCTCGTGAGGCGGTAAGTATTTCTCTGTGGCCAGCCGGACTAAACCGTCATTGAAGAGGAAAACCCGCAGAGGATCACAGGAAGTAACAAGGACATAGATGCGCAGGTCAAACTTGTAGCCATCGAGAAGTAAAGGCTTGTCCAGGTACTCTTGTACGATGAAATGCTCTTGCGAGGGAATCTTTTCAGCATTCCGATACAAAGAAATGCTGAAGATAACAAACATAACAGTTTCCATCATAAGCCTATGTACGTTGCCAGACTTATGACAAGTCGTGAACATCCTTATGTTTCATGATTATGTTATCTTCAAGTCCATACATTTTTGCAGTGACATTATTGGATGTGTGTGTTTGTACACATTTGTGGGTTTGGGGGAGAGGGATAGGGAGAGAGAGAGACAGAGAGAGAGAGAGAGACATAGAGAGAGAAGTTCATGTATGATATATGGTAATATAAGCACGCTGTCAAAATATCTCTAATGTAGGATTATAAAGCGCACTTGCCTTAATTTCATCTTATCTTTCATGTAACTGATTGTTTAGAAATTATCTCTCCCCCAAGATAGCTAAGTCAACAAAGTTTCTGTTGGCTTAAGACAAATTAAATGAGTAAGAAACAAATGCAAAGTGTAAAAATTATTTTTTTACAAACTATACCTTTCAAGAAAAAACAACTACTCAGCGATCGGGTCTGAGGTCATACTTGCTGCACATAAAGGGGTTTTGCATGGTAAAAGCTGTAGTGTCCCAGTCAAAACGTAAGGTGTTGCAGTAACAATGAAAAAGTTATGAACTTAGATTACTGGCTTCGCCAGATTCAACATTATATCCTGAGAAAAAGCACAGTCAGGCTGAGATAACTCAGATTAGTTCATACAATTTGCCATATCCCGACTGATGTCTCTTTATTTTTTTGGTCATTGGTTAACCTGAATGGTGGCTGTTTCGATCACATTTGTCATTTTCTGACGAGTCTGACTTATCCGTGCCCAACGGTTTTATCTATTTTCCTCAGCAAAATGTCTCAGTCTCTGCAAAATGGCTGTGTAATAATAAAACAAAAAAATGGTTGCAGTGTGTGCAAAACAGGCTGCAAAGCGGAGTGCCCCCTGCTGGACGAAAACAGTAAGTAGGAAAGAACAGCTCCATGAAGGAAGTTATTATGAGGTAGTGTGAGCATTCATGGTGCACACACAACTATAAATAAATACGGTACTTAGCTTTCAAATTTTAGAGTATGCTACAGGTGACAATGTAAACAGCAGGATCCCTTCACACAACCCTTCGCCTTAAGAAACACAATAATAATATAAGTGCATACACTTTTCAAGTCACATTCCGAGATGCATAGTTCATAATTCTCTCACTTCTCACTCACCCATGGCCCTGTGCACCGTTTGAAGGTTTTACAATGAAAGTTCTAGGTTTTTTCTTCATTTTCATCTCTTTAGCATAATTCTGTAACAAGGAGTAGTCTGCAGGCAGTATCCATGTCTTTGGAATGAAATTGAACTCATCGGGAACAGCTTTCTGCATTCTGAGAGAATTCAAAAACAGACAGGTATTTTAAAGAAAGAGATTATGAAAATAATTATGAGGCATGATGATAAAATGATTTACTTCTCAAATCGTCAGATAAAATAGGTGAAGTTTGTACAATATATTAAGTATGAAATAAAAGAAGACATGTTAAACTTTAAGAAAATGACATTGACTGAAAATCTACAAATTTGATACATGTGTTGATTTTTTACTGATATATTCATGCATGGAGGGTGAGAAATACCTAACTACGTAAGCACACCTCACATAAGTGCCTGAGTCAACAATTTGTACAATACAATGCAATGCTTTACAATACAATACGATATAAATATTTCACTGAGGGAGAAAAAATATACAATAAATTTAGATTGGCAATCAACAATGTCTAAAATATCCTGGCTTCATAGATAGACACAGTGGTAACAGAAAAAAGAATAATCAGAGAAAAAGCTGCCCAGTTGAAACAGCCAACTGGGTCATTTCCTATTAACAACGACAAAATGTATTTAACTTGTATTTGTATTGACATGGATAAAAAGAAAGCCCCAAATTCACAAAGAAAGCAATGAGTACCAACATCAATGTTGCTGTCATTCAAAATTAGGCTTTTATCATCAAGCCTTGGATGTTGAAGGTCAGCAACAGCTCATGACGGATGAACTATTGTAATCATTATTTCCACTCTACTTCATTTTCTTTTTCACAATGAAAAGTATATGTGAGGCATCATGGTGAAATCAGGCGCTCGTCAAATTAATGAAATCGAAGAAATGGGCACTTTTCCGCTGGTTTGGCAACTTTTATTGAATTTTTGTTTTTTGGTTCAACGCCTTTCATGTACATGTAAAAATAAATTTCTGCATGGATTTTACAGAAAAACATTGCTTACGGGTACAAAAAAAAATGTAAATTTTAACTTTCTAAGGACTCTCAAGCTTTGGAAGTCACCATGTTTTGAAAGTCATTTTCTCGCTAATTTTACTTCTAAAACCAGCTGACCCCCCATCTTCTTCAACAAGAAATTTCTCAACTTTTATTCAAGATAGATAGGTACTTTTTTCATCAGAAACAAGACAAATGAATAAGCTTTTGATGATACCAATAACTCCACATGCCCAAAAATTGACTAGCGCCCGATTCCACTGCGTCATGATATATATGAATTTCCACTTAGCCATATAAGACATCCTCACAGGACTTCAAAACTTCATTTTCAAGGACCAGAGCCTTGTTTCGACTTTCCGTAAAGGTAAATCATCCTGAAATGAAAACTACCTAGGAAAGTAAACTTACTTTGAGACATTCCGAGCCAGGGCATCTTTGCGAGTCACCTCACCCATGCCGGGGAAGTGATTGATTCTCTGGTACGGCTTCAACTCGCTTATCTTATCCAGTGAAACAAAACAGTCGTTCCATATAAGATACCTGAGGGAAAAACAGAGATAGCAGATGATACAAACTGTTCTCACGCAAGGAAATTACAATTTGGGGAGAAAGCGATATTGACATAGCAACCCCCCTTCAACCAATATTTTTCTGAGAAACACCGTCTGCTGTTGATTGTGACCTGTTGTACAAGAAAAGATGAAGAACTTTTCGTCTGGGAGCCTTTAATTAGAGAACAGATTGAATGGAATTTTTTAAATTTTGGCTTCTTGAATTAAAAAAAACAGAAAAACAACTTAACAAAGCGAGGAAGTATATATACAAACTAAATGTAGCTATCACTCCGAGGTTTTCACCCTTCTACTTCACTTTAAATTGTAGAGTTTTTGCAAGCAAATTTTACTACCACATAAGAGCTTGACTACCAAAAATTTACGACAAAAATAAAATTGACATAAATTGGGTCAAAAAATACTTTACCAGACTAATTTTTGACCTTTTAAATTTAGATACAGATATTTTTATTACAATTATCCTATCTTATCTATTCACAGTCAGATGTGTGTGTGGCTATTGTGCTGACTCATCCTAGTTCAATTCACCTTTAAAATGCAGTGTCAGTTACACAATTTTATATATAAAAAGTATCAAATGAATGCACAAGCTATGTAAGCTGCTTTTCAAACACAGATAAAACCACTTCAAAAAGCCATCACTGATAAAGGCAACTCAGACCCTGCTTTGTTTTCAAGTTAAAATCTGTGTCAACTTTGAAAACAGTAGTGAGATAAAAGGGGTGCACTTACGAAGTTGGGTCGTCATCCTTCGAAACAGTGAATCCGACTTTCTCTACCATTTGACGAACTAGACAAGAAAAAAAGAAAAGATTTAGAAAAAAAGATGTCAAAATAATACATTGTCAAACAAGCATACACATGGAAGGCACAATAATACAACCAACTACCATAAGGTTTGGCAAGCACTTTCTTTTAAATCAAATCTAAAAACTTGAGAATGCCTGATTTGATAACACAAATAGAGATGACATCGATGTCTGATCATCTCTGCTAGTCTCATACATCAATAAATCAAAGCAACAACTTGGCCTTATCCTTCAAAAACGTCAGTCTTTTTCGCAACATCAACATCTAAGATAAAAATAATCAGAACTTAGTATATTACTTTCTTTACAACAATTGTACCACAACATTTAATAAAATACAGTCACTTAAGATCACATGGCAGAAAAAGAATGACCATTTCAGACAGGTGGCCACTCTGGTCAAGGTCTGAGTTGTGGTCACTTACTTGACTTGACAAAGATGGTTTAAAATCTGACATTTCAATCTTAACTTTCTATTTCATTTTCATCACAATTGTTATCAATCTTAGGAGTTTCTGAGCATTGATTGAACTTAAAATTACACACACTTCGTCCAAGGATGGGTGGGTGGAAAACTTTTGAAGCAAGTAGTGCTGGGCATAAATTTAGATTTCCATTGCTTGGATTTTCAGGAAAACTACTTGGAAATGAACGAGTTCCTCAGGCCTGCTCAGTAACATAATTTCAAACCCAAACTTGCTTCCCACATGACTTGCTGCTGAACCAAGTTTAAAAGTAAGTTTGGCTTATGGGAATTTCCAGTATATCATTAGCCTGGATTTACTTCTTGCATACAAACCCATCATACCCTCCCCTTTGCCAACTGTGTGCCCTGTTAGAGTTATCTAGCTATAGGCTTCATAGTTTTTGTCTACTCCAGCCTGCGCCACCTCCGTCTCATTAAAAGCAAGCCAGACCAAGATCTCAACTTGGATTTAGAAAGCAGGTCGAAAAGTAAGTTGAAGCTGGTTGGATCTCCGAATTAGTTATTTAGATTAGGCAGAAGATCAGACTCCCCCTGCCCTCCTCATCCCCCTCCCCGTCGCAAACTGAGTGCACTGCTATCTATAAGCTTATTTGTGTCTGCTTCTCCACCCTGTCCCCGCTCCATCTCAAAGTAAGCAAGCGCGACCTAGATCTCCACTTGTATTTAGATATAATAGAAAGTAGGTCGAAAAGTAAGTCAAAGCAGGTCAACTCTTCAACTTAGTTATTTTTATCAAGCCCAAGAACTGAATATCCAGATTGAAATTTGGGTTTCTGCCCAGCACTAGTACCAAGTGACTACTATATAAGAGCAGGTTTTGAGGCCTCCACTAGTTGTGAGAATGATTGAAATCACTCGGGTGTCACGGAACAGTGGCCGTCAGTACAAGTGAATGCTATAATGAGGTGACCACTAAGGCAGATTTGACTGTAGTTTTGAAAAGTAATTTTTCCCTACTATGACTAAAAAGCAATGAAAATCTTTACAGGATATTATAAGTTTTAGCATAATTTAAAATATTGCAGAGAATTGAACTGAGAAGGATCGTATCGTGAACAGAAGAAAAAAGGGACACACAGGACTCCTCATAAGAGATTTCTTTTAAAAAATGGTCAATGCAGACCTAATATTTTTATTGTCTTCATTAAAAATAAGGATGCTACTAGACATGGAATGGATCATTTTGGAAGAAGAACCCTCAGCCCTGAGACAGGATACGAGACTCAAAGAAAACTTTAAGATAGTTGAGGATACTCTAGATTCTACTTGGATTCAAACTTCAAACTTCCTATGCCATTGAGAAGTTTGCGATCAACAATGCCACCACAGTGGCCAACTTGACTGACTTACCAACTTCATATCTAGTTCCACTGAGATTTGCAGTGATAAGGTCGCGGCGTCTGCGTCGCTTTTTTCTGACCAGGCTGGGCACAGCGTTGGAGCGTTGATGTGGGTCCTCGGCCCCATGCTCCACAGCAAGTCGGGCACTGTGGGGGTGGGGAGGGACGGACGGTCGCTGAGCTGCACGCCCATATTGTGTAAGAGACGATAGAGACAGATCTGGAACAAATAATGCAACAGTAATAAAAATATCAAGCTACCTCCTCTAAGAATGTGGGAACTTGATTTCAAAGGTGTTACTTTTATGTTGCTTGTACCCTATACAAAAGTGTCACTACAGATGAGCGTTTGTTCTATATTGGTTTACATTTTGTGGTAATAGTGTGCCTGGCAAATTAGGCCAAAAATATGCCACAAAATGCTGGAAAACATAAATGGCTCAAAAATAAAAGACAAAATATCCCTTACAGTCCAGTTACCTTAAACATACCACTTGGAGCCTGCCTCAGTAATCATGTGAGCCAGAACCATTGACAATTGTATATATAATATCCAGGGTACTGGGACAGTAAGGTACTAAAAGAACAAGAATTTCAAGAAGTTTAATTTAATAAACAGGAGTTTATTAATTTTTCCTTGCACGGTGAGGAGGAATAAACATTTTTCATAGCGTCTTGTCTTTGTCACATGACTTTACCAACTTAAAGTTAATACTTTTTAACAGTCACTCCAACAATGGCCAGAATGTGACTGCGGCCATCTAAAGACAAAATTCAGCAATTATGTCTATTGTTTTATGCCCTTGTAAGCATTTTAAATTAGTCACAAATGTGAATGATTGTGATAGTAGCATACGAGGGGGGGGGGGGGGGGGGTTCAATAAGTCTTTGGTTTGGATATGAAGGAATCATGGTAGAGTAATGAAATTTACCCAGCCTTTAGACTATTTCTTTGGAACACACCATGCACATTTTCAGGAAAATCCGACAATGATAAGGCGTGTTCAATGAAACCATGTACAAAAACGTTTGCTTTTCTTTGCTGAAGTTGTGCCATGGAGCCTGTTGAATATAGTTAAGTTGTCAAGGAAAATCCCCTTCTGACATTTTTCAGGAAATGATCCGAGTTTATGGTGACAAATATCCTCGTTATAATACTGTGATATACTGGGTAAAAAAATTCAAATCTGGATTCATGTCGGTGATTGATGAAGATTGTGAAGGGCGCCCATCCTTTGTGGTAACTGAAGAGAATGTATCCAAAATTAAGAAACTGGTTCTACAAGACTGACGTATAACTGTTAAACAGCTCTCAAATGAAACGAGAATCAGTGTCGGGTCAATAGAAACGATTCTCTATGACCATCTTCACAAGAATAAGCTGTCTGCGCGGTGGATACCCCGCCTTTTGACAAGTGAGCAAAAGAGGCAGAGGGTTGAGTCCTGCAAAACTCTTCTTCGAATTGAGTCCATTGACACAAATTTCTTTAAAAACAGGTAACTATGGACGAAACATGGATTTATCTTTTAGATCCAGAACAAAAAAGTCCTCCGTGCAATGGAAAACCCCTTCTTCTCCCTCATCAAAGAAGGAAAAGGTTTGCTGATAAAATTGTGGTCTGTACTGGTGAGAAAAAGGTGCGGAAAACTCTGTTATGGGATCCTCCTACTGCATGACTACGCCCCTACACGCAGGTCACGAACAAGCAGTCTAGACAGTAAAACAGTGCAGCATTGAAATCTTGCCACGCCCAGCTTATTTACCAGACCTAGCCCCTCAGACTTTTCCTGTTTCCTAATCTAAAAAATATCATCCAAAGGACGTCATTTTCCATGACAACGAGGACGCCATTGAAGCTATTGAAGACTGGTTGGGAGTTCTGGGTCTTTTTCTCTTAAGGACTTTTGAAGGTCAAAGAGAGGTAGCAGAAATGTGTTACTCTGCATGGTGACTATGTAGAGAAATAAAACTATGTGTGCCAAGTCACAAAACTCTTATCTTTATTCCTTCATTTTTAGACCAAAGACTTCTTGAACCCCCCTCGTATATGCCTATAGGCTACAACACTTTCTATCCCATGGGAGATTGAGACATAAATTTGGAATGGACTGGCCAACCAAGGCTGTCGAGTTGTTGAGAAACCCTGTGAGCCTTCCTTCAGTGGGACATCTGACTATTTTCAAACCCCCCAAAAATATAATTTCTTTTACCGTTAAGAGAAGGTATCAATAATAACTGGGTCCTTCTGTTTGCCATTAATTTTTCATCAGTAACATTTTACAGAAGGTGGCTAGGGTTCAATTATTCTTTTTTTCTCTATTTTAAAATGTAGGATAAATTCTGATAATTCTTGACTGACATAACTTAATTACAGTCTTACTAAAAAAATCAAGAGATTACGACAGGTGATAGGCTAATTGAAAGTGTCACCAGTAAATAATCAGAAGACAGGTCATTTTAAGGATATTCTATGACAAGATTTCTAATGACATCAGAAGTAAATTAAAAGCTTTACGTAGAAAAAAAAATCCATAACAAATTAATTTTATATAATAATTATATAATAACCTCATTTTAGACAAAGTTATTACAGAAAACAGCGTGAAACATATACCATATACAGAGCAAGAAACAATAAATAACACAGAACAATTATAAGGTACTGTAGTTTTCCGGAACAAACCTTTATCCATTGAAGATAGGGATGTCAAAGAGGTGCTGTTCTTCATCCTGTTCTATTACAATGATGTTGTATCCAGTGTCGTCAGTAAGTCCAAATAGGATCTGAACTTTGTTGCTGCATGATTCTACATGACAAATTTACCACCTATCAAATGTGAAAAGTTTCAGTGCTCAAGAAGGGGGGCTGAAAAGAGAAAAAAAAGTTCCAACAATCTTTGCTCATTCTCAGGTGCCGTTTGTTAACTGGACAAGACCGGCGGTGCCGGTCAAATTTAATTTTTGTCAACTGGACAGTTGACAAGAGATTTATTGCTGATGATGATTTTCATTCAGTTTTAAGTAAATCCAAACAAACATGTATCAACAGTCAAAAAGCGCCTTGCCGATTTGAAGGCGTTCAAATAGACAAG